ATTTAAGCAAAATTTTACTTATAAAATTTGGGTGCGTCAATCATTTGACCTACTATTATAAAATGATCTGCGTGACATCTCGACTGACTGATAAGGTAGCTGCGCAACGTAGTTGTGCGTACCAGTGGGATAACTTTAAATGCTAATTATTTATAATTAATAAATTATACTTACTTTGCCTTACTTTGCATTATAATCCGAAAATAATAGCACAATTAAGTAAATATTTGCAAATATCTGATAAAATCGAATGAGCACGTATAACTTCTAATTACACTACAGCGCTAACGTTAATATTACAAAAATATACCTGTATAAATTCTCGCATTTATTTACATGCATAAATGACTGGTAAAAATGCAGAAAGCCTATGTGCAGTGTAACTGGTAGAGGCAATATGATATGTTAGCAATTGAGATAGATTGATTTGATAGTGTCATGTGGATTTGCATTTTCCCTAAACATTATCCATGGACTTTCTGGTAAAAATGTACGTGACAAACGATAATTAGATTATACACAAACCAAAGTAGGTAATGTAACTTATTTTTAATCATGAATGGTTAATCGATTTATTAAAATCTTTATAATAGTATAAGAAGAAAAAGGAAGAAATACTGCAACTTGATATTATTTATATTGAAATTTTACTATTGAAAGCTCATTCTGATGAGAATAACTTTAACGATATAAAAAGGATGTTCATATTTTACACACTGTTGGTTTATATTACAATTAAGTCTATTACGGAAATTGCAACCTATTACAGGAATTACAGCCATCGATCGCTATCACAACTATTACAGCTATTGATGACATTTACTACTTTGAGTATTAGTTGTTGAAATCCAGGTTGTAATCCGTAATGTCCATAAATATTACGGCCATCAACCTTAACGGGTTGTTACGATAACCGACTAAAGCCACATATACGTTCAAAAAAATTATAAATTTTTATAATACGTATAGAAAGGTCAAATTTTCCAATTTCAGTTTTAGTAATCACAATAATTATCATAAATTTATAGTTTAATTGTTTCAAAAATCTGCTGACATCATTTTCCGTACTACTGTACTAAATATTTTATCGCCAAATTTCCATGATAATCACCTTATATATTCTTATATATTGTGATTTTACAGTACATCATGCCATAAAATGATTATATACATATAAAGAATTTTGTATACTAATTTTTAACTACTTGAAATACTTCATAATCTGAGATTTCATGAAGTCGGAATACCGATGTTAGGGTAGGAATCACAATGTTCCTTATTACCCCTGTTATTTGGATCAAATAAATCGACACCTCCGAATGTTGGTCCGTGATCATTACCGCAATAAACCGCATAAGTTTTATTGGTAACACGTCCTAATTTTGCACTTTGAGGGTTATTGAGATCACTTAATAAAAATATAAAGCTATCATTTGTTTGTTTCCATATATTATTTCCATTCCAATCAAGTGGATTATAACCACCAACCAGCATGTTCGAACCGGAAATTCTTGCTATAACAATCGTTGCCCCTTTATTATCACATTTTTGATGAAATGTTTTATGTGATTTATGATAGAATATTCTAGCTAAAAATCCATATCCACTTCGAAAAAGAAGATTAAATTTATATCGAGTTTCTTTTGAACTTTTATCATTTATAGTTTTTCCATCTATCCATTTTGTAAGTAGTAGTACGATCTTTTTATTAATTATAACAGACTCGATTTTAACGTTGATGTTGCCCAATCTGATTGGAAATACATTATAGAGCGGTACGGCATTTGAAATTAAATAGCAACGTAATATATCCTCGATTAGGTTATCAGGAAGGAGGTTTCTAAATGGCCATACTTTAAGTACGAACTCTTTACCATTTATCTGATGAAATCCGACAAGTTGAAT